TTTTTTTTTTTTTTTTTTTTTTCTTTCGTCAGTCGCACGACGTCCCGACGCTCGGCGTCTCTATTCTGCACCATATCTTAGAACTGCCGTGATTTACAGTTGCACTTTTGGGAATGCGAGCGAAAATTTTACGAGCTGATGAGTTTATGGTAGTTTATGGTGGCCGGCGTGTGGCCGTCGCTCGACCATAAGAAAATCCATAAGATTCCCCGAGAAAATGTTCAATACCGTCGCTAAAAAGGACTCGTGTCCTTTGAAAATTTTGATTTATGACCGAAATCCATATCCAAGGATACGTAGAGCAAACGATTGAATTTTTCGAAATTTAACAGTCCCTTATAATTTTATCGAAAAAAAAAACCTCACTTACTGTCCTTAGTATCCTTATTAAAAAAAACTGATAAGAGAAGCCGTGCAGATAAAATATAATATTTTCAAAAATCTACCTGCCATCTACTTTAACTATGCAGGACAATGGTGATAATAAAAGTCTGCCAAGGACACCATAGAATTTTACGATGGTACCTTAGGACCAATTTTTTATAGCTAAGTCCCGTGAAATCTCCTTATTGTTCAGTACTTTCGAAATTCGCAGTACAGTGGATTTTTTTTTTTTTTTTTTTGAAAAATTTCAGACAACCTTAATTATCCAAAATTTATCCATTTACCAAAATAAAAATGATAACCAGTACCACTCTCTATTTGCTTTTTGAATTTTTCTCAAAATCCAGCGAGTGGTTAAAAACTTTTTTTTTTGTTTTCACGTACGAAAATGGCGGCACGGGGTTGGGCCTTATTGGCTTTAATGCGGTCCCAGCGTGAACCAATTGGCTATACGTAAAGGTGGGCCAGCCAACGTATAGTAAATAGGTGTTAGGTTAGGTCCGACGATGGAACATATAGACAGCCGAAGGCTGGTCGATGGTAGGAAAGTAAAAGGGAGTGCATAATGCATCAATGTGTCTAGGCAGAGCACAATGGCGGCTACCGGTGTTGCGGCAGTCTTTGAACTTTGGTCCACCATCGTTCGATCCGTGACGTGGCGAATTCTTCGCCATCCTCCTTTCGAAAAACCAAGAGCACTGCCAAGCGCAAGGTACGGTTAGGTAGCTATACTTTATACAGCCAGTCTAGCAGAAGCGACGGCCAGGATACAAGGATTCCAATCTAAAGTCAGTATCACACGAGAACAAAACGCCCCAAGAATTGCTCTTGTAACGATAGAGTCAAAACAAAGCAATTATTTAACGAATATCCAGTGTATCGGTAGACCCGATAAATCACGCAATCAATGATACACGAACTGTGACAGCCAACCAGAAAAGGTATCCCAAACCCGGTAACCCACGTGACCAGAAGAAATTTTCGAAAAGAGTCTTCGGCTCGGATTTACGGTCCCCCTATATAATAAAAATGTGCCCTATGGGTCTGAGAGTATTACCGGGTCACAAGGTCAAATAAAATCCGGCTTACCGCGAAGAAGCCACAAAATAGTAAAGTTTCATTGAAAAATCTGAAATTTCGTTTGGATTGTAGTGACGGTTACTTTTTTGCAATTTTACAACCTCCGTCAATTTTTAATCATTCGATATCGCTTGATGGCTCATTTTAATTAGGAATGCCACACTGAATCATTTTGATAGCTCAAATCATTAAAAAGTTACGTGCATGCTGGGTTACGTTCGTACGAGCTCAATTCGAGGGAGGCTCTACTGCGGTGAATATTCGAGAGATCGTATATGCGTGTCCTTGTCCGACCCACGTGTATACCCATAAGAGCCTCTCTGTCGCACTCGCAGCGGGTATAGGGAATTGCAAAAATCTAAGGCCTACACCTTCTCTGACTCGAATATCGATTTTTCATGGATATTGTTAATAGCCATTAGGCAACCTTATTCGCTCTCGAAACGTATTACGGTTATTTATACAGGGTGATCCGAAGTGAATTATACTCTCGATTTACTTTTTGATTTCCGAGAGTTTCTGCTTTTAAAGAAAACAAACAAAAAACGGCACATGTGTACATAAACGCGTTAAAAATCAATTTCGAAGTCGTCGCGGAGCGCAATATCCGATTTCACAGGAACTTTTCTGCTTTTCCGGGGAAATTCGCCGTGCTGGTCACGGCTATCTTTCGTACAGCTGTTTAACCAGCTGTAACGTATCGCACCTCCCCCGTTTTAAGAGTTCTATAAGGCCCCGACGGGCCCCGGCCACGAGGTGTACCTTGTTCGAAGGAGTCAACATTTTTTCTTTTTTACTTTTTACATTTCCATGAGAACGAGAGTGAAAGAAAAGAAGGGGCGCGCGTATGTGGTTAATTACTGGGTAGCGTGACCGTCACTTCCGGCGAGCAAAGAGCCCGACGCGAGGAGCGAGGTGAAAAAAATTTTTTTCTTGCGCGGGGTATAGGGCCCAAAACGGTAAAGACCCGACGCCACTGTCTTATGATTTTTGAGAAAATTTTAACTGTATCACGGATACGAAGTTAGGGCACCCTTTTTTTTCATATTGCTTTTGCGAACGATATCTCGTTCTCTTTGGATATACCTCACGCAGGTTGATTAGTGGGCCGTAAGGCCCACAAGAAATTTATGGGTCTGCAACCCGTGCATGAAACTCGGTGACCGGTAACGATATGCACAGTAGCCAGGATACTTTCACGAGAGAAAGGTAGGTCATTGTGTAAATGACTGTAAAATGGGACCAAAGAGGGAGACCCAAGGATGGGGCCCTAAAAGTCGAAAGTTTTTAAAATCCGAGAAAGGAACGTGCCCCGGCTCACCCCTTACCTTTGTATGGAAGTGAGACAGTAAACTCACCAGGAGGGAGTGACACAGTTTTCGAAAATTTAGGGCCACTAGGTCTCTGGGCCAGGCCCACGAGACCCGGTCACAGTTCGGGTCAGGACCAAAGGGCCCCGAGTCCCTTTAACTTCAGCAGGACATACTACCGTTACGTCGATGAACTTCGGGGCGGCTCCATGAAAGATTTACGTGCTGGTTTTGAAATTTGAAAAAAAAGAAAAAAGATCGCTCCCACGTACCAACCCCCAACTGCTTTTGCTACCGTATGGGAAGTTGGGCCTTGATGGACCAGACTCGAGTTCACGGTGAAATTTACAACCTCAAGAACATCCTCGTGAACTCCCGGTGAGAAAATTTGTGGGGGTTGGCTACCATGAGACTTCTGTCTGGCCACGCGACCTCCTTGAACTTCTTTACATCCCTTAAGGTGGTAGCAATGGCGACACCCCCTCTCTGCCCTTTCACCAAGCGTCGCGCAGCTTCGCGTCCTCTTTCCAACCGGGACTGACAAATAGCCAGGACCCTCTCGGCCGGGGTCCAGCGAGAGTGGGAGGGCTATGGTCTTTCACCCCCTGTCACAGGGGATGGAGATGTTTTCAAAATGTTTAGAAATGTTTGACACTGGTCGCGTGGCTCCTTCTACCTTATAACGTGTATACCAAAGGTACAAATTGAATGGGGATGATCTTCGGGACCTACCCCAAATACGAAAATCTTCAACTTCCTTCCTTCGTCGTATCGCCGTTAAGATACCACCCTCTTCTGACACCTCGCTGTGCATTAATAAGGGTGCCGGCTCAGGACGGACGATATTCTCGCCGACAAATTAAAAAGTTATTAACCCCCTAAATGGATACCGATTAATTTGCCCTTGTAACAAATTGCGCCACGTCCAACCAATCCCACCCCACGGGATCGCGCCCTTCCGGAAGGTCCTCCAGGCTCAACTGTACGTATACCACAATGAGGCCTGATACATCCCTATGAATAGGGGTGTCAGTTGCACCGTGAAATTCTCCATCAATCTACGGAATTATTGAGCATATGGCACCGGGGCTCTCAGGGTCGTATATATAGGAAATGGCTCTTACGCAAAGACTTCCGGTTTATCTATTATTCGAGAATTGTTCATTCGCGTCCAATATTACTTAAGTGGAGCTCGTCTAACCTACCTCCGTCCCCTGACGGCTGGGTTAGTAAAATTTTGAAAATTTTGAAAATTTTGAAAATTTTTTTTTTTTCTACCGCTATTCGTATTCTTATTGCTTCACTCTGATGAGATCAACAATCGCCCACCAGGTGGGGCCCCGGTTCAAAGTTCGCTCTGCGCACCTAGAAATTATGCATTCGGTGCAGCTCGGTGCTTGGGATAATCTACCGCGCGTTTAGCATTATTATCCTTGAACGTTTCTGATACGATTCTCGGTTCCATGGGGCACGAAATGTTCACGGGTTTGTTTTTTCATTTTTTTTTTGGAATTATATTTTGCTTTGATTCTAACTTTAACCACTAGGGTTTTGTTCTGTTTTATTCTGCTTTTATTTTTTCTTAGTACCCCACCCAGATGGAATTCCTTCGGGTGAATCAAAACGGTACGATGTAATTCTGATGAATTGCAATCATCATTTACCATTAAGGGTGTCCATCCTTGATACGCGTGATACGTGATGATTGTGTTGGGGCGACTTTTTTTTGTTTTTGTTTTTCTTTTCCTTCAATCTGAAGAGACGCTAGGATTGAATTTTTTGAGAAGCGAATGCTTTGAATGATTCTCAAAAAATATGCAGGCTACTTTGAAAACTATGGAGAATTGCAAAAAGAATTCTGAGGGAATCAAAGATGCATCGAAATATCGAAAATATATAAGCAGTGAGGTATTTTTGTATTTTAATGGAGTATGGTTTTTGAAAAATTTCTTTTCTGTCTGTCGTATAGGTTATTCGTTGTCGGAATTTTCAAAAGCGCGAAGAATTCATAGGATAATGGGAGAGGAGCGTGAATTGAAGTTTTTGGAAAATGATAAATTGAAATTAACTATCGGGTCGTTGGCAACGATTAAAGTAAAATTTCGAAATTTTGAATGACAGTACATGTGTTATGATATTATATTTTTATATCGTAGAGAGACCTTTTGAAAAATAGGTGGAACTACTTTTGTCACTTGTCTCAGAGAAAAAAATTGCGGGAGACTAATCGAGAAAAATGTTTAACGAGGTATAATTTTGAAAAAGTAATTACAATGCAGGACATTATATTTATAAATGATATAGATTGAAATGGAAGTATATTGAACTTGAACGTGTGCCAACTGACAGTCCGGTTTTGGAAAAAGTTAGTATATGTACAAATTTCTAGTTTCAATGGAATTTTTAAAATTAAAATAAAAAATTGTGTGTATCCGTCTAGATTATAAGAACTCGACGAGAGAGACGGGAGTCAAAATTGGCACGCAAAAAAAGGATGATTGAAATTATTGAGAAAATAATTAAGGAGGAATTCAGAGTTAAAAAGAAACTGGAATCTAAACAGAAAACTGAAAATTTTCAAAATTCTCGACAGAGAAATCGAAAGAAACCCACGGCTGAAATAAATTTTAAAAAATCTTATAAATTTCATGACACCTTTGATGGCTCTACAGAAATTTTGAATATTACCAATCAGTCTCCAGCTGACAGTGGTTTTATTCAAAATTCGGAAATTTCAGAGCAAGAAAATATTTTAAAAAAAGAATCTGCAAATATGACTCCTCAAGCAACAGATAATGTTGATGATCAAAAGGATTTAAAAAATTATAAAACAAATTTGGAGATAGCCGCCAACCGAAATGTTTTCGGGTTAAACGAAAAAATCAAAAATAAAATTGTTGACTTACCCCCTTTACCGCTGGAAGATGACCATGAGGGTGATAATTGTCTGTCGACTCTGACGGATGATTTTGAAGGAGCCGATATCGGGCAACGGGATGATTTTGAAAATACACTAAAAGATAAAAAGATATTGAGAGACAGGTGCTTTTACGCGAAACCCAGGACAATCATTTTTAAAGTAAACCTATTAAAATCTATTTTAACTCTTCTACAGTAATAAGTCGATATTTCTTTTACAGAATTTCAGCCCTGGAACATCTTACACTCAAAAAGTGGCGATATACAATAAATTTTCAAAATGGTCTTATATCCGTTACGATTCTATAAATTTGTCAATTTCGGATAATAACGTACTGACAGTAGAACACATTGATGCTGCCAAAATCAGACCCGGTTTATTCATTGTCGTGACTGTGAATTTCTTACCCAACACAGAAACGGAAATAACCGGTGCACTGATATTTTTAACATTGAATTCGGAAAATACGAAAGATTTTCACGAATTCAAAATTCGAATTCATTGCGTTCCCGCGCAAGCAGATCCGTTGGTGGATCTTACAAAATTATGGTAGTAAAGAATACAGAAGATTTTGAAAAAAAGAAAAAGTAAGCTTTGTACCATTATATATTTTTTTTTCACTTAGTTTCCCCACATTCCCAATTTGGAAAGACATTGAGCCTGGTTCAATTCACAAAAGATTGACGATATCAAATTTTGGATTAAAAACATGCAATTTATTATTCACACCAAAAAGTAACACGCGAGATAGTTTTAATTGGGACTTCGAAGAGAACGAGTATCCATCTAAGAAATGTATAAAATAATAATTCCAAAATTGTACAGTTTTCAAATTTCCATCTTCTCTTTGTGTCATATGTGAAGTCACCCCTACAATACACGCTGACGAAGAAAATTCAATAACGGATTACGAAACGTATGAAGTGGAATTGAGAGCCAAGTCGTGTATTAAAATTCGAGTAACATTTTTTCCAAAATACGTGGGCTTGCATCACGACGTACTTGAAATCCTTTTCAAAGTGGAAGAACAGATTATAAAAACACAAGCAAGCAAGAATATATCTGTTACGTTGATGTAACGATTTATAACAAAAAATTTTTTCAAAAACAGACTATACCAATTTGGGCTGAGGTGACAGGATCTGAGATACATCTTAATCCAAAATTCGTGGATCTAGGAATAATCATAATGGGCACAGAAATTTATCAGGCTAATTTCACCATTAGTAATACAGGTAAACAATTCTATATTAGTAAAAATCAAACTGAACTTACTCGAAAAAATTAGGACGATCCAGTGCTGATATATCCATGCTGATTCCAAAATATCTTTGCACTGAAATTCAAATTTATCCAAAAACAATTTCACTACAAACTGATACCTCATGGACGTTCACTGTCCGACTGACGCCATCAGAAAATATTTTACAAAAAGCAAAAACGTAAGTATTTCTGAAAAATTCAATATTTACCTCGTATTTTAAAATGACCTCCAATAGCTACTACGACAAGACGTGCAACACTCTGAATATACCAATCAAAATAAATGTTAATTATCCAAACGAGAAGGGCCCTACCCTAACATTAAAAATTCTGGCTACTCCAACGAGCAGTACATTAGTAATAGGTAATATTTATGAAAATATTGAAAAAGGATAATATCAAGCAATTAAAAATTTTCAAACAGAACCTGATTTTGTCGTGCTGGGCATGGTAAATACACAAGAGTCTGTACTGTCCAGAATATCTATCACAAATCCCAGCCTAGTGATACAAGACTTTGGATTTTTGAATATCCCCCCAACAATGACTATACAGCCAAATTATGGATTCGGCCGAATTTTACCAGGCGAAACACTTCCACTTCACTTGATATATTCAGCCTGGTTGACGGACATTCCCGGAAATGAAGCGGAAGCTAGTGGATTGGCGTCAGATCGGAGGTGCCTATCTACTCAGTTTCCAATGAAAAAACCAGCGAATTACAAACGACCTGTAATTTCGTATTATGAATCTATAAGTGACGTGTTTCTCGTAGATTTGAAATACGCGTGGCCACAGTTAACGAGTTGGTTGGCAAAAGAAATCACGTCGTTAGTACAAAAGTTCCTACAAACCGATTATTGAATCTACCACCGAAAGAACAATGGCGCCCAACCGGAAGTGACTACAATAAACAGTCCGACCAGTCTCGAATGCCAAGAAGAAGATTCAGTAGTATTTCACAAACAGTCCGTAGTAAAATCCCATTTAAAGATTTAATTGGTGATCTAGCCGATGATGATAATTCCAGTTCAAACTTGGCAGGTAAAAAAACATTAGGTGACTTCTGCAGTTTGTTAAAAAAAAATCACCTAGTCAGCCACTATCATCTAGTTCCTTTTTCTTATTTTATGTTGATTTGTAAGACTCTGACGTAGCATCTGACAGTTTTGGACCACTGGATGATGACGTTAGAGAATTAAAAAATATCACTGAGATTTTCGCTTTCATTGTGGATCCACTTTGTCAATTGAGTGAGCAAATAATCGAATTTCCTGCGACACCTTGCGACTCGTATTCACTGGTAACGTCCCAGTAAATGCAAAGTGACAGTTATATATGGGCAATGTAAAGTTTCTTACTTAAGGATTTAACAGTGTTATAAAACGCCTGTTGTGCATAACTGTTATATTATATCTCGGAGGAAGATGTTATAACATTGTCGATATGTAACTCATTTTTATATTGTTGTAGTAAAACAAAAGTTCCGACTTAGTTTCCAAAAAACGAAAATCTTTTAATGCGTCATATCATTTTTAGACTTCTGTAAACTTGATGGGTTTCAACAGTGCATCTTATCCTCACTGCACTTGTGGATTTATAGAGGATCAAATAAAGGAGTTTGAAGCTTGGTACGAATTTAAGTGTTCATCACCGCGCGTCAGAATGTCGCCACGTTATGGACACTTGAAAAATGGTGAAACCATAAAGATTACTTTAATGCACAAGCCAAAAATGTCGCATAAAGTTACTGCGAATGTTTTGGAAAGTATGGAAATCAAGGACAAGACGTTACCAGGAGAAATGACCTTGCTGGAAAATTTTGAAGCTTACATACACCACGAATGGGCTACATGTGCATTAAATATAAAAATGAAAGATGGTGATAGGAGAGATGAAACTTTGTTAATTAAATTAACATGTCCTGTTGTTAAGCCTGATATAATAATTTTAAATCCGACAAGAATAATAGAATTTGGCATGGTGGTAATTGGGTCGAAATCCAGAAACATCCTAGAAATTAAGAATATATCCACTCGGTCTGTAATTTTTATGAAATGCTTCAAGTATTTTGCATTTCTGTTTTGTAGAATGAAAAATAATTTCAGGTCAGTCAAGATAAAGTTCAGTCTTCTTAATCCATTTGGTCCTTTCTTTATGCCTCCTGGAAAAATTCTGGAACCAGGATCTATCTTGTCCATACCCATTACGTATAGGCCAAAAGTGAAAAAAGATAATGTGAGTAATGTTTTTTTTTACTGTAAATACTAAATAAAAATTTCAAAAATCATTGTATGGTTGTCGAGCATTAGCTACAATTGTTCTTGGAGCTTTACTCTTAAAAACCCAACTCCATCCATTTCCTTTGATATTTTTTGGAACCTTCGTAGGGTATCGACCTGGCCCAGGACAAATTTCCTTACATCTCAATGGTCTAACATTCAGTATATTACTGTCGAAAGGATATCTCAAGGCATTTTTTGGTTTACTTATTTGTTGCGGTTCATAATAACCTGGTCCTGGTTGATCAGGATCCTTGTAGCAGAGACTAGGATCATTTAGCATAATCCTTGTAAATGGTTTCTTGGTAAACCTTGATAGATAAAGGACTAAATAAATCATTCTCGAAATTATAACTACAATGAAATATTCACCTAGGACAATGTGTCCAAAGTCCTTTGAAATAATTAGATTTGTGAAGTAGTTTGTCAATTTCACCAGAAAATCCCATTGGCCAATCCTTATTATAAATTGTTGAGGGCATTGCCAAGTATCCTTTGACACTAGTATAATCTCTGCATCCTGAACAAAATTTAAATAATAGTATCACAAAATCGCCTGCACCTTTTAAAGAACCAGGGACTCCTATATAATGTATACAAACCTGTGAAAAGATCATAGGGCCCTCTTTTGCTTACTACCTTGCTTAAAAGATTATCAAGGCAGTCAGGATGTCGTGGATTATATCTGGAATCAAATAAAAACAATAATTATTTATATCTTGGATAATTAACTGAAAGGTGAGCCATTAATTTACAAATTGCACGGTAGAGACCAGGAATGTAAACTCTTTTGAAATCTTGATCTAAGGCCGTCGAATTCAAATGTAGGGAGTGAAGAATGTTTTTTAAACCGATTGTGATTCTTGAAACGGAAAAGATCGCTTAGATATCCTGAAATATAATGCATCAGCATACCATACTAAGGGCCTTGTAAATAATTTTAACTTACCAGGACCCGGCATATTTTTTCTAGCATCTTTTTTGAATCTCGGAGTAATCCCAAAGCCGACGTTAGCTTTTATAGTCTTGCAGGATCTATCAAGGATGTTGTCTGGCCATTGAGAAATTTCGTGTGTTCCAGGACCACGTCCTGTTTTTTGTAAATTTCTCTCAAAAACATATTTCTCCAACAAGTGTCCTCCCATAGTGGCAGAAAATTCCTTTAACTCTTCATCCCTCTGCCAACTAAATTTTACTTATTACAAAGTACTTTTACACGAGGTAAGTGGACACTTACTCCCTGGTATTCTTTCTACAAGAAATCCTGGAAGGATTGTATAATCCTACAGCAGGAGAGTCTTGCGTAACAGGGAATAATTTTGGATGTAGACCGAGATTTTTCCTCAACGTGGTAGAAGTATTAAATGGAGGATGATTTTTTTTAATACGTGGATTCAAACGTTTATAGTGCCATCCATTAGCACATTTGCATGATTTCGAAGACCTCGTATTGTTTTCACAAGCCATTTCGTGTCCAAGATTAGTGTGATTAATCTAAAAAATGAAACATATTGTTAAAGTTATGTAGCCTCTTCTCTCCTTTCAGGATATTGAATTTTTTGAAATTCGTGCCGCTTCCACAAAGACAATTTGGAGGATGTCTTTATCCGGAAGGGGTGTTATACCAAGCTGGAATATCCTACCGGAAATGAGAGTGGCAAGACTCGAGGCTAAAATTGGAAAACCGGATGAAATCAAATTAACTGTAAGTTTCACTTCCCCCCTCGTAACGCCATCTATACAATTTATATAGAGCGCATAAAAAAAAACAATTGTTTAAACATAAGATCATCATTAGAATTACTCAGTCATGAAGTATGTAGTAGGCAAAGACATTATAACGCCTTACTGTTATTATTATATCTTGCCTACTTATATTTTCACATATTAGAGATACAAGTATAATTTATTTTTGATATGCAAGACTGATCAGCTTAATCGTACCAATTGAACTCTGCCCGTTTATTTGATGTCAAAGAAAAAGACAAATTCAGATGGAGCGTTCAAGCTGCCTAGCCTATATTACAAAAATAATTAAAAATTACGAATATTGCCAGTGTATTAACAATTTCCATATTTCCCCGTATTTAAAAAATATTTTTCTACTTATACGTCGATAACACTGTATTACTTCACATAACGCGCCATCTCTGAGACTCTACGTCAAGTGTCTCAAGAATAAAGTGAAAGCGTATGGTACATAAAAAAATTATCTTTCAAGAGAAAAGATGCAACACTCCTTACCACTACACGCTGTACAATCTCTTAGATATCTACTTTTTCTCAAAACTTAAAAAAATTCAGTCAAATGATCCGAACCCCATAAGGTATGAGTGGTATTGACTAAATCCCCAACAAAAGTTTCACAGTTCGATGAAGAGAAGGCGCTGGATTCGCTTACCAGACGGTAGTGCCCTCTTAAACGGCAAAACTTGTAACTAAATTCCCCAATTCTGTTATACCATTAACTCGTACCGAAGAACGTTAAGACATCATGGACGACTGTCTACATCTTTAGTAGTTTTCCAACGTTGCCCAGCATTTAATAATTAATCGAAAACTCAGACTTTCAATTACCGCAGCAGTGAACACGAGTATCGGCACTCGGAACGAAGAGCACTCTCAGCACCATGAATCATGCAGACTAGGCAAGAAACTTTAACTAAGGGTGGTTCTTGATCGGTGAAACAGCCTGCACCCACCAGCCCTTACCACTGCGTATATTAAACTTCCCAAAGCGAAATATCTCTCCGGTTTCTCTTCCTCCTCAATAAGAGCAACCAAGGACAGACATTTTTGTACCTTAAGCCATAGTATCACTCCTCAACAATTTTTTTCACCTAACAATCAGAACATCCACATAAAGAAGCTGTATTTTTTCTTGTAATACTTTCCACACACCTTTTCTCTATCCAGTACCACCGCCAACATAATCATCATCCCTTCTCTCTCTCTCTTTCTTATTCATCTGTACGATCCTGTTTTAAAATGAAAATGTGTCTCTGGAGATAAGAAATGTTTTTCCCTCTAACCTCCCCAGGGCTGACGGTACGCACCCTTCTTCGGCCACAAAATAAACTTTTCTCATACAGATATAATGCACGTCTACCACCAACACCAACTCTTCTTCTTCACAGCATACTTATAGTTATCCACAACGGAGTTCGGTACGGGATTGTCTCTTGAAAAAAAAATCTCAGTCCTAGACGTATTTTTATCGACTGACAGTTTGACAGAATAACATTTTTCAAAGCCTCCAATATGTTTCTCTTTTTTTCTCACTACCTGTAGTTTTAATTTCAGTCCGCTAGGACTCCACAAATAACATGCATTTACACACATATAATTTTCCTTATTTATCCTTCTCTCTAAACTTCAAACAAAAAACAAAATAATGTTTTCCACCCGACTCACGCATCACGGCACGTATCCCATTGTAACTATTATTATCCCATTATTGGATCATAACGTTAATCAGATTCACCAATTAAAACGAAGCATAAAATAAAAGCGCATTTTGTAAATAAGGTTAGAAGTATCCCTAGAGACAGGATCCCGTGCTATTTTCACTGACGTACCTTATAACGCCGAGCCACGAGCTTCCCACTAGAAACCGGAAACCGGAAGTCCATCGACACGACCATAAAGGCGAAGCTATCGTCATTTGATATGTAGTTTGCACTACGCTGACCTAGATCGGAAACTCTGCTGGTCTCTAGACAACCTCAATACCTTGGGTACATCATTCATCCATAGTTATACCACATAAGCATAGGACACCTTTTAGGTTATGTATAGATATTTTTGAATTTCAAATTTAACCCAAGCCGGGCTAGAAAACAACCCTCGTGATGCAATTTCCGAAAATACACCTATATTCTCAGTTTTTCATTACACGAATACATATATCACACACGTACTATATGAAACGTACACTTTCATCCAGATACTCCTCCCGAGGACCAATTCGCTGAAAAATTAATTCCATACTCCAATTCAATGGCACGTACAAAGTGGCAGAGTAAATAAATGCAATCTCTTTTCGTTCACTAGGTCTGACGAGTTCAATACTTATTCTACTGATGGATTTTTTCATTTTGAAAATTTTTTTTAATATACAGAGTTAGTCGGTAGAAACGCACCAGCCCAGAAACGACCCAAGTGGCCGATACGGAAAATTTGACCTCTCCAAAAAAAAAATAATAGCTAGGCACAGCTCACCGTGACTGATTCGCATAAGGGCACACTGAAAGTTCGCATAGTAATAGGTTAGGTTTTGTTTTTTTTGAAATATTTTAATAGTTAGCTTACTGAAATGATTAATAACCTCCCGCTATTAACTAAGGGAGAAGTAAAGACACGAAAATTAAACAAAACCAGGCCCTCGGATTCTCCATAATTTTCTGGTAAGCCTCTTCCGGGTCCATATCCGGTTTAAAAGTTTTTACAAATTCACTGAAATATCCTAACGCACCTGTGAATTCTTTTAGGTGTCTTAATACAGTCCAGAGATTGATCCTATTTCAGCCCCTTCTGCTGTTAACTAAGGGAAGAACGAAGACAAGAAAATTGAACAAATCCAGATCCTCGGATTCTCCATTATTCTCTGGTAAGCCTCTTTCGGGTCCATACCCAATTTATACATTTTTACAAATCCACTGAAATATCCTAACGCACCTGCGAATTCTTTTAGGTATCCTATAGTCTAGAGATTGATCCTGCTTCACCCCCCTTCTGCCATTGATCAACGGAGGGGTGAAGATAAGAAAATTGAACAAACTCAGCTCCTCAGATTCCCCTCTCAAAAATATCTTAAAACTCCTGTGAATCCCTTTCAAGTATCCTGAAATTGTTCTGACAGTTATTGCAATCTGTTATGAGATTAAATCTCAACTGATGTTACATTTTGTCATTACAATATTAATTAATTAACTGAGTAACCTATTGCAATATTTCAAAAACCTAACTTACTGCTATGCAAACTGTCAGTGTGCGCTTATGTGAATCAGTCATGATGAGCTGTGCCTAACTGTCATTTTTTGGAGGGGCTGCACTGCTGTGTTGATCACTTGGGCCCAACTTCAGCTGGTGCGTTTCAAATGAACAACTCTGTATATGGAGTGTATAATATTTTGAGATGGGAGTGTACAGTGGTGATAACATTACTATACTATAGTACTGATACCATTTTGTATCAGCAAATGAATAAAAATGCATATATACATATTTCTATGTATCTCTATCAGATTGCGTGTGGCCTTATTCGTTACGGTTACTGTTATTATTGCAAATTAGCGTTTTCCATGATCCTCAGACATTACAATAGCAGTATTGCCTCGTTTGCAATTCTATGATATGGAAATTCCAGTTGGTTTGTATCCTGTTGTAGCTGAAGATGCTGGACCCACTAAACTCTTGCGTCACCATTAATAATTTCCAACCGGTATGTATTGAGAAACATTAAAATAGATCAGCTATACGTTATAATATGTATAATAAACAAGCATTGTACCGTTTTGATTACAGAAATGAGGAAAAAGAAGAGGGGAGCCACTATGAAAACACACCAGAAACTTACAACTGTCTCGCAAACGCATTCCTGTGAGGAATGTAGATTCTGTAATGAAAACATTATTGTTTGCATGTAGTTGGCATTCCAAACGTCATCACTGACAAATCCATCTGTTACAGAAATTTACAAATTACAAGCAATTACAAATCGAAGGATCAATCTACAAATTTGGGATGATTCATTGGATGCTGGACATTTATCAAGAATATGGATAAAATTAAAATTAAACTATCGATACCTGGATCCATCTGACGTCTACCGATATCAGGCTCTAGGGTCAAAGTGTCAAATAATATTAAGCTTACAATTACTTTGGATAAAATCAGTCAGGCTAGAAAGTAAATGATGAACGAGTGACAGTTGATAAATTGGATAATAATTAGATAGAAAACAATTTTTAGAAATCCGGTAAAAATTATATTCCAATATCATAAAGTTGGTACTCAAATAGAGTCAATATTCATTATGGTTTGAGTAACTGTCACAAAGTCACAAGATGTTGTCAGACACGCAAGCATATCCTTCACGAGTGAGTGGGTGTACCATTTCAGCCCCACTGATTATATCCGACCTTTGACTTATGGATATTATAATAATACCACGAGGTCCCATAGACATAATAATAGAATATAGCCGTAGGACCTAAATACACTGCGCTTTGTGGTTTAGTCCCAGTTGTTGGGGATAAGCGATAGTCTTGGCTGATAACCGCAATGGTCGGACGGACAGATAAGGGTGGTACGATACCGTGTTACCATAAGGGTTTGTAATAGCTGCATCAAGGATCAGGGAGGACGCTAGAAAAAGAAGTAGAAAATGGAAAGGAGAGACGGAATGGGATGCTGTATGATCTTGGGAACAATATCCAAAATCCTTTATGAATAATGTTGTATGACATTTGTAACTCTTGTAGGATTTAGGAATATTTTTTGTCGTTACACTATTTATACAGCATAACGACCCTCTGTCATGTACGTTGTAGGATAATAAAATATTTCTTAATTAATCTGTAAATTCTCTATAATCGCTCTCCAGGGACTCTGAGACGTGATAAAAAGCGAGAGAGCGATATTACGGAGTCTTTATTGCACTGTAACAGGCAGAGCGTGTGACGGTATCTTGGAAAGAAAAGTCAGGGAAAATGCGACTATGCGGAGCGCCAAAGTTGACTGTAGTACAAAAAAGGGTTTTCAAGGTTCCTTAAAAGACTTCCATAGATACCATTATGGAAAGAGTCACCTTACCTACTACATCTCTTCCGTCTAGCCAAAATTCTATAAAACATTTTATTTTATCCTAGGCCATAGTCGTTCCTCCCCTAAAGCATGCTTTTTTCTCTGTTAACCCTTTCACCTCTTGGCATACGACGTATAAATTTCTTCTTTACACATACCGTCCTAACTACTGGACTCATATGTAACACGGAACATATTTACACGACCAACGTGTCCCAAGGATACGTTCAGACAATATAAAAAAATCACAAGGGAAAAAAGCAATAGTAAATATGAAACTTTTATTTAGAATTTATATTTGACCATTCGAAAATTTCTGTTCAAATGTCACGCCAATACCTATCATATGCTATTAGAAGAATTTTCACGTTCTTACAATGTAACATTGATCCTGATAATTCAAGAGACCCTTTTCATAACCCATAAACTGACCCACGAAATCCCATAGGATTTCTATCCCACTGGGAGATTCATTGATTCTCTTTACATATTCTAAGCACAATGTACTCTTCATCATATTCCACCATGTTCTGCCGTTCACCAAATCCCACAGTTATACTGTATAATCTAACATTGTATAATCCATATGTTTATATAGAGAATTTGTAGGGTGATATAGGAATACTGAATAACGCATCGATACACGTATATTGCAGGATCCTGCAGGACACTGTGGCAAATTGTTTTCCACTTTAAACTTCTCCAGCAGCTGGCACTTATTTTTTAAGTCAGCCAGGATTTTAAGGAATCATATATATGTGTATACATATGGAGCTCCAGTAAACGGTGTCCCCATGTGACGCTTTGAACCAAGATGGCTATGAAACACTGCAACAAAAATCTTTTATATCATGTGAATCATTTTATACAGGATGTAAAGGATTTATAGGTAAAAACTTGACAGGTTGGTAAAACTGATTTGAAGGAAAGAACAAATTCTTAATAGATATTTGTCTGAAAGCTAAATGCTTAAAAGAAATTCAGTTACTTATTGTATAAGAAAATCTTTTTGATTGTATATAGTGTAGGTAATATATTAGTCATATCAGTTCAAAGTGTTAGCCATTCATTTGAATACAGATTTCTACTGATTTTTGACTACAGATTTTTCAAAAGAATTTTCAACACGTCAGATTTGCTTAATATTATTTAATAGAACCTGAATACACTAGTATCTTTGCAATTATTTATTTTCAGATATATGTTTCTTAACACATCTTTTTGTAAATCTCAATAAGTTATACCAGCCTGTAAAGTTTTGATCCACCATAATCTATTTACATTCTGTATACATAATCCACTTTGGTTTTGAAAATTTATGAGAATTCTTGCATATTCATTTGGTGTATAATTATACAACAGAGAATGCCACTAACATATGGGATATGTGTTGATATGTTGTAATATAACTTATCGTTAAATTAATTATAAAGATACCATGTACTTTTGTGAATTCCAGATTGAAAACACTTCTGAGGCCACACTGGTGTTCGTCCTGGAAATTATTGAACTATTGGAAGGATCGATACCAGTGCAATTGAACAAAAATAAGGTCCTTAAAGAAAACAAGAAGAAAAAAATAAGCATGTTCCTCGAAGAGGAAGAAGAGTTGGCTATTTTTGATAAAAATATGAAGCCTCTGGATAATAAACAATATTTTACTTTTGTTAACTTTGACAACGATTTGCGACTTCCTGTGGAAGCCATGAAAAAGGTTAGTTGTACCTTTATAGGTTTTATATATCTTCATTGCATCATGGTTCAAATTTTTGTATTATCTGATTGCAGCCATATATGGAGACTAATTTTAATAATTTCTTTCAGAAGGACTTTGTATTACGGTTTCAAGTACCATCGACAAGAATCTCGTTCACGGGGAAGAGAAGTAAAAAGAACAAAGAAAGGATCGGTGTCGCGACGCCTGGCGTCGTAAAGAAAGGTCGTCTGGATGCTATGGACGTGTATTACGTAGCAAGATTGAAATTGTTACTCGAGGACGTCCAACCGATACAGGATATTGTATTAATAGCTACCGCGAAGACCTGAAACGGAATAGAAATTTGTAAAAGTAGTTATCCAACGAAATTCAAAGGATCTTCAATAACCAATAATATATTGAATTTCTCTTTTAATGAAATAATATTACTCTAGGACATCTGATCTATAGAAGATATTGTGTTAATAAATAACATCAAATTTGGAAATAGGATGTAAATTTTGAAAAAGAGTTATTCGATGGAACTCTGATTCTCAGTATTAAATAATATATTGATTTTCTCGTTTAATTAAATAAATATTGACGAAAATATCAAATATTGCACATCACTTTTATTATTAATTCAATAATGAATTGACATATAAAGCACCTTCCACGACAATGATATACATGTACGATAGATGAACGTAAAGCGACAGTCTCTAATTTCCCGGCTGGTACATTTGCTTATAAAGTTTGTTCGTTAACAATTGTACACAGTTTACCGATAAATAATTAATAATTAATTGTCTGGCCAAACGGAACCGTCCACCGTTGCGTAGCTGCGCCCCAAATGCATGCAAGACAACGGTGAGCGAATCTCGTTGAATGTTCTTAATAATACGATCATAATTTCTAGAGGTATTTACAGGCTTCTTGGAGAACTTTGAAAAACAATTTTTAAGGAGCAAAGTGGTAAGGAAAGATAAATAGCAATACATTATTTTAAGGATCAAAGAGAGAGAAAGAGAGTGACAGTACAAATTACAAATACAACAATGTACAAATAGACAATTATAAGAATCGTTAAAGTGACATTGGGAGGTTTAGTTCTTCCCATGAAAAATAAAAAAATAATATTACTAATCTGCTACTCATCTTTAAAGATTACAGATAGATTACTCTGATAAATAACGAATGTATTCGTTATGTCCATAATAACCTGTTAGGTATTAATCAACAAGTACAGAAGTCTACATATAAAAGAAATGTACAACAAAAACTTGTGACGTGTGAATACAGATGGCGCCAACAACCTGCAACGTAAATTTATACCCGTGTTCCCTAAGGTATCCCTTTATTTGTGCGCACTGATCGAATAGCTATTTTTTTTTTCTCCAAAAGATGTACTATCGTTAACAGTTAGAATATATATCCAAAAATGACGTAAATGGCGATTCGAACGATTATTAATTATTTCTAATTTGTATACGCGTCGTCCTGTCGATAGTCCCACGAATTACCATATACATACAAGAATCAGGTTGAAAAATGGCGAAGACGCGATTTTCCCGCTAAATTCAACGTACATAGTGTTTTACATAATTTCGCGTCAGCACGCTGTCAAAACGATTACCGATACAAAGTGTTCATCGAGCCGTGACACTCGTATGAATTTTATACAGCAATTATCGTGTCTTGCCTCGTGTTCACAATAAAAAAAAAAGGTCAGCCAATCGAAACTACTTTAGTTTTTACGTGAAACGAGATACACGACACGCGGAATCTTCTTTACCGAGCGAGCCGTACCGATCGAAACTTCGGAAACCCCAATGACAGTTATCGCGTGAGGAATTATCGTGTTTTAAAAAATTTCGATGATCCTTCGTCATACATCGAAATAGAAGTAGGACACAAGTACGCAATTGATTTTAAAAATTGTCTTTGATACGAGGTGAATTTTCTCTTTAAAATAATACCACTGAATCACAGCTGTCATTCATCGGCGTCAGCTGTACGCGTAGGATATTATTCATTTTGTTCTTGTTTTCGTTATTATTATTATCATCATCCCCTTTTCTCTTCGCGGTTGGCAATCCTGACGGGAGCACTTTATCAATCGCGTCCCCGTCGTTAATTATTGGCCGCGATATCCCGCGTTGCGATCCAGGGATATAGGTAGAATCAGGTCCATCTGAAAGCATAGGCGATAGGAGAGGACGTGGTTCGATCCTGAAAAAAACAGTTAGACACATAGAATAAAGAGACGTAAGCATACAGAGTATACAGGACGTTTCAAAGTACACGTACAGAAAAGTCCTATACACATGTATATACGTATCATATTAAGTTCCCAAAAAAAAAAAAGATATTGAAACGTATACATACAAAAAGTGTATTCCTTGAAATTTGAAACGTCCTCTACACTGGGGGCGCTCGATGCGTACGAAGATTGAATTGCGAAATCACTCATGATTTCGACGTATAATTAAAAGAAAAAGGATCGAAACAATAAATCATATATGAAACGAGGTGTACTATTCCGAAACTAGGTGGTACAAATTATAAAGCTGTATATGTGGTATATAGGGGGTGTGAAATGAGTGTCTGAGAATTTTTATCTTTTGTACGGATTAATTAAAGCCCTTCCCGGCACGGTTGAGACAATTAGCTCGGGTTTGGAAGACTGCGTTATTCACTTGAAGCCTCGGGGTGCTAAGCGGACCATTTTGGGGTTGATCAGGAAGAATTGGCTGCCGGATTTGAAGTCGGGTAAGGATAGGACGAGGGGATAAATACGAGAGTGAAAAATATACAAAAGAAAAGCGGCAAGAACGTACATACGTATCGTACCATATACATGTACAAGGGGTTAGTCCGATTGGAACCAGCTGTATTGGAAAACCAGGTTGGAGTCGTATAAGACTGTGTATATAGACACTGTATAGATTTGAATAAGGGTGATGAGGGTGCACCCTTAAGTATAAGAAAGGGTGGGTAGGGAGGGACGGGGGTTTAACGAATTTACGAATTCCAGGGTCTTGAGAGTTCGAGATAAATGGCGCTACCATTATTAGAAACTTGTTTCCCTTATTAATCGCCCTTTTGCATTTTCTTTTTTTTCTCTTCCTCTTGACCTCTTGGTCAAAAATTTTCCACCAACTGCGCTACAGAAAATAATACAGTCTCTACGTCTTAACGTATGGTCGGCGGAACGCGAACGTGCTGTAGGGTAAATAGACGCGAAGTGTTCTAGAAGTCCAGGCACGGCTCCGAAGTACGTATGCTGGTCGTATAGGATTTTTCAAAAGTAATCATACGTTTCTCGTGACGCAGGGGCGGGGCTAAATATAAATTGCGTTAATTGCAGACAATGGCAAGGGCGGAGGTAATTAAACCTCAATATATAATCACCATGTGCCATCAGCCATGTGTGTAAATTATATTAATCACGCGTATCCGTTTGCGCATATGTATACACGTGTGAACTTACGTGGAGGCGTCATGAAACGACCGCACGTGCGTAACAGGATTTCGTTCTTTATAAAAATTAAAAATATACGTCTACGAGCGTTTTTCGTTTTGTCGCGTTGCCATCACTGCTGAGCGCTTTAATGCGATAAATCTTCAAATCTCGAGGTCGTACGAGAAAAGTTCTTAGATACAAATATTCTTACTCTTTTACATGGAATCCAATCCTGCTATACAAATGCGACAGTTATCTGACAACGTGTATACGTATGACGAAGCAATGTTATTAACAATGTATATCGATATATGAAGTAAATGAATTTTTGTAAACAATGAGAAAAAAAGGCAAAATAAATAAATAAAAAAAGAAAACCCACGCGAAAAAGCACAAATAGGGAAATTAATTTAATATTTATGTGTACGTGTACGAATGGATGATAAATACGTGTACCTATGTATGTATGTAATAATACCAGAAATACGGTGACAGCGTCGTAACGCTTTCTTTACCTATTCAAATGCTCATAGGACCTACACAGTGACCGTATGGGGTTTCGTGTCGAAGTTCATGGGTAACATCATGCTGAGGGAGAGTTGACGCCACCTGCGTAAAAACGTGTTTCACTTCTAGACACATGTGGGATTAAATTTTGTAAATCTAATCACAAGGATTCGTTTGTCGAACAATAATCAGATTAATTAAATAATGCGCAACCACAAACAGCGATATGCGCTATACTCGAACAGTGACATGGATTTTCTTGCGTGCGATTAACATATAAGAGTACAAGAGCAAAGAGACAAGACAAGACGAGGATGCCGCCGAAAGAGTTGAAAAAAAAAAAAAAAATGTAAATCTACATTTTTAATTAAATTGAACAATTCTCACTTACCGGACACTCGTCGTCCTGGTCTGACTAAGACTAGGATGCCTCTTGACTGGTGTCCTGTAGCCTCTTCTAGGACAACAGCACCACCAGCTGCCACAGGCAGCCGATAGGAAACTCTTCCGGAAATGCTTCGACATGAATCCATAGACTATGGGGTTGATGCAGCTTGCGAATGGAAAATGAAAAAAGAAATATATATTAATTAAAACCCCATGCTTCACTTGACAATAAATAACTGCATTGTCGTAGGCACAACGTTCCCATGACTTTAGTCAGTTTTAGGGTATACTGTACTTATGTGTCTATAGTCGATACCTGTTAAAGTACGCCATAAGCTGAAAGGCCGTATTGAGGTGCTTGAACGCACCGCCCTTCATCCATGGTATTACACCATAAGCTGTGAGTACGTTGTCGATCAGCATGGGACTCCAACATATGGCGAATAGGACGACAACCGCCACGAGCATTTTGACGACCTGATAGAAGTAGAAGAGATGGAAAAAAAATATATTAAAAATTCCTTAACTCTCCTCTGTCTTGCATCGCTATCTTATACTCAAGCTACAAAGACTAAAAAGAGAATCGAGTGACTTGAATAAGATTGAGAGCAGACAAGGTTAAAATAAAAAAAGAAAACGTGCACTTCGACTAGTTCTGAAGAATAAAAGGAAAAAGAAAAAAAAGACAATTATAAACAAAAATTATTTTGCACCTCCCCCTTATCTCTTGACCTCTCTGTTCTCAAATCCCAAATAAAGAAAATCTTCTAGGAAATGAAAAATCTCACCTCAAGGCCCCTCAGTTGGCCGAGCGAGTATGAGGTAACCGTGAATCCTTTGCAGGATGAGAAAATAGTTAATAAAATATCCGACAGAGGGAGACACGAGAAACGGAAACTCCTCATTACTTAAATCGCCAAGTTGCCCGCAACCATTATTTGCTTAAGCGACAGCGTCGCGTAGTCAAACACAGTAGAAAGTGCATTTTGAGTATATCGATGCAAGATGTTTTTAAAACGAGGTATATTAACAAATAATAATAATTCTACAAGACAGTTACTCCTGTCCCATTGCTATACCTGCTTCATGGTACGGGATTCCTCCTCCGTCTGACTGTCGTCGCGACGCCCACGACGCGCCCCATTTCTGCCGCTTCCGTGTCTCTGTGTCATCGGTATACATTCGGTTGCCGCGTTGTTCTGATTCAATCTGAAAGGAGGAAAATTGAGAAAAATTACATTAACCCGTGAAGTCAAACGAACGTTACGCGCATGCGCACTGGAAGAGGCTTAAACGGAAGCTCGTTAGGACTTCTTGTACGTTCGGCACGTTTCCGTAATCCGTGCTACGTGCCACTTTCGAAAATGAGCCAGAGGCATTCGATTTACGCAGATATTGCCTATCGGTTGAACAAAGAGAAGACGATATATATATATATATATATATTACGTAACATCCACGTACTGACCATCCGTATACTCAAACACGTTATATCGCGCGGCTTGCTTGAATTTAATTTCTAGAGCGTTTTTTCTCTTTCACAATAGGTTTCCTTCCAAAGAGAAAGAAGATCGAGCCAGAGAGAAATGCACGAAAAAGACTTAGAAAATAATAAATACAAATAAATACAAGTGGTCTTCTTTTTTTTTTTTTAATTACTACCTTGCACGGGTGAATCGACCTTTATGATGTGTCCTACAAATTATCGGTTCGTAATATATATATATATATAGACACATACATATATATATATATATGTTCTCCTACGTGACTACCAACGCGTATGGACGGACCTACGTAACTTCATCGTATAATTTAGATCGTCGCCGAGATACGTGGCGATGATGCTCACCCAGGAGGCTATGCCGAAATTATTTGCGCATCGTGAAAAGCAGCTAAATATAATTGCAATGGAGTCCTAAATGCACGGCCTAAAGACCTTCAACGAGACTATTCACATTTGAGTCTAAAGATATATATATATATATATATATATGCACGCTATGCTTACGAGCACGTCTAAAGGTACAATACGAAAAGTTCTAAATGAGAAAACGAGAGTTTAAAAAATGCTTCGCGAAAAAAAAAGTATTTTTTTTTCTAAAAAATCAAAATTTTTCGAATAATGCATCCCGATGACGTAATCCATACTCAACTACGCATAGGCGTCCACTATAGCGAAATAGCAGTTAAAAGTACCAGTGGAAACAGTACCCTATTAAACCGTCGCTATATATATATATATATATATATATATATATATGTAATAGTACCAGAGTGACTCAGAAACTAAAACTGCAAATAGTATAGTGAATGTAAAATTTTCTCGCTACGTAATTGCCTAGTAAATTTTGGACTTTACGAGTACTATAACCAGTTGATATATCTATATATACCGTTGGGCTGTCCATAGTAAAAAAAAAAAGGGAACGTAACTGGACAATTTTGGAAAAAAAAGTTGTCGATCGTCGTTGTAAATCTTGATAAAGGGACGTACACACTGACTGTTGATTCTTAGCCAAAAATCACCACGTTCACAACTGTATACACGTAACTGTCGACGGGTGCGACACGCGACTAATTTACGAACTAATTTTAGCCCATCATGATAACAACAGTGCACGATTGCATCATTAAAGATTCTCCATTGCATATTGCATACACATAGGGTAAACAGCTGTCGCAGGGGAAATACTTAATCCACAGAATTCAGTATCACTTCGGTATAGGAATCTGAAAAGATTTTTCAAAAAATTATCAAATGGTAAATTAATGCTTGAATGTATCTTATAAGAAATGTTACGGGTAGTGCGTTTCCAAAATATGTAAAATTCGACTGGTCACTGATTCGGTCAATGATCAAGCCAATATTGAAAAATGACTTGGTTCAATGTTATTGTTATCAGTAATCCTTAACCATTCATCCTTAACCAAATCCAGTAACCTTAATCATTGAATTCATCATTAAAATCCGAAATCAGTAACTTTTACTCAATTATCCTGTATTTTCTATTAAACATAGATATATATCTATATCGAGGAAAGCACTTACGCGTGACGTGACGTCATATGGTATCTACGCTTCATGACGCGCCAGATCTCCCAGCAAATGGCGGTGTAGCAGAAGGCCATTACTATTAGCGGTACCACGAGTACCAGAAGAAGCATATAGACCTCGTGAAGCCTCCACAAAGTTTCCGAATCGCGATCGCGTACGCACCAATAGGCCAGATACCTCTTGCCGACTTCCTTGTGTCTCTGAAAAAAGGAATTACAGCAATTAATGACGGATCGATCAATCGACCTGTTCGATATATCGGGGTGGCATAGGCAGCGACGAAATATTTCACAGCCATTCGAAATAACAGCGAGAGACAATGGGAGCTGCTGGTAACGTTTCACAAGGGTGAATATCGAAAATCGAAAAATATCGACTAAGACATTTTTCAAACTGTCGCAGGACGCGTACCATTGGTCCAGCTCGTACGTTCTATTAATAGATATCGATCCGAACGTTACGATTCGTTGAAAAAAAAAGACTGAAGAAAAATGAATAACAGTGACAGGCATGGCAAACAAACACGTATATACAGTATATGCCTTCGGTATACGCGTTAGTCTAAATCCGTCGCGGCGCATTTCACCCTCGATCCGTGCACTTGAATCGACCAAATTAGATCGTAGGAGGAATAAATCATTTGGGCAGGTATCCGTATCCACGATACGGTGGATATTCAATGGAGGCTGATTTTTCGAGTTTTTACGAAAATCGAGATTGCGACCGAGGGTAGTTTCGTGTATTAGCCAGTAATGAGTGAGCTGACGAAGCCATCGGGATAGGCTGAAAATACATTAAGGTGAATTAACGTCAAAGTCATTTTAGATAAGAAAATACCAGACGACCCACCTGAGTGAAGATTATTGGCACAGCCAATAGGAAGGACATGATCCAAGTGATGATTACGATTTTTCTAGCTTGACTGATGGTGCAGGTATATTGGGCCCTCATAGGATGAACAATGGCGTAGTACCTAGAAATGAAAAAAAAAACAGGGTCAAAATTTTGAAAATAATCGAGGAAATTAAAAAATTTTTTATTCAGTCTCAAAATTTCTTGATCGAGAGCCGATCAGGCGGAAATCGATTTAAGCGAATTTCGTGCGATCAATCTGGTCAACCGGGTCTGCACGGGATTCTCGTATCCATCATCGTCATCCTGGCAGATCAAATTTATGAATTTACATAGGATTTCACGAAATATTCTTTCCCGCTGTCGCCGCCACCCTCGCACCTGCCGACGTCGTCTAACCCGATGCAAATTTGTATCGTATACATATGTATAAAGTCCAACGGGAGTCGAGTCATTAGTTGCTGGACGACTGACATGTGTGTTGCGAGAATCAGTATGCAAATGAGAGGAGAAACGGAGGAACGAGCAAGAGAGAAAGAGAGAGGAGACAGTTGTGGATGAATTAAAAAGTAAAAAAAGAAATCGCGCATGCGTCGTTATACTAAATTTTCAAATGGGATTTCGGTTGGCATCACTTATAATCGCATAAACGTCCCCTTGAATACCGACTGATTTTGGTTCGACGATCCAATAATTGTCCAATCAAGGGAAGAAACTCTCCTAGTTCTACATGTCCTCGTGGGCTTTAGGAATAGTTTTGGTCAAAAAAAAAAAAAAAAAAAATTTCAACCTCGCGACCAGCAATAACTCGAGCACAGCATCTCGCGTGCTGAAATCCCAAAAAATACCTGGAGTTCCCTTCGCATCCGACAACTGATACGTTTTGGGGATAGTTCTGGTAATTTAGCAAAAAAAAAAAGAGGCATCGAAAACAAAAAATAAAATGTTAATTTCGGGTCCAGCTGCCACTACGAGGACAGCGTGTCTAATGTGCTGGAAGCCAAAAAAAAAAAAACCTGCAATTTCCTTCGCATCCCACGCAGTTCTGTAGATCCTGACAGATTTTGGCAATAGTCCTAGAATGTAATACATATCACGAGGGTTAACCCCCAACATTTTTCGAAGCACCCAGTGAAAAAAAAAAATTGGTTCATAAATAAACAGAGTAAAATTTTCATGCGTGGAAAATGTGAGGGATGGAAACCCCCCTTTTTTGGTATCATATAAATTCATCGAAAAGTTGTTGGTCAATCAACTGTCAAATGGAAATTCGATTGACATGGTTTACATCCGCATTAACCATCCCTTGTAAAAATTAATACATTTTTATTTATTTTTTTTTTTAAATTTCTTTCATCAAGAAAATAAATCCAGCGGAAAATAAACCTCGAACCTTTCTTGAGATACCCCACGAAATAAGTTACAAATACCAAGATGACTCTCGAATGAATAATATATAGAATGCACGTCCCCCTTTTGTAATCGCACTTTCAAGGTCACATCTGAAATCGTGGGTCGAGACTGCTTTAGCAATTTTATAAAGTCGTCGAAAAGTCGTTAGTGAATCTCGAAGGATTGGCTCACGGGGGGGGTAAGAGAGGGGATGTTACCATTGGCTGAAAATATTGAGAGATGGAGCCATTACTACTTGGGTAAAATTAAATCACAGTACTAAAGCGTGTGTATATATATATATAGCAACTGGTACTCCTTCCGCGTCAAATTTGACAACAATTTTGTATCTCGAACTTCAACCGAGTCGCGTATCGAGAAAATATCCGCAGTAGAAAAATCGCCAAAAAGAGCATACAAAATACCAAGTAATTGCGTTTTTGAATATCCATTTCCAAAGTATTTGAAAAAGTCCAAGTGTAAGAAAAATTTCGAAAAATCTGTCATCCAATGGGTTCCACGTATAAAATGTGAACTGAGCGTCAGTTATGGTGAATGGTCAAAAATGTTTCCTGAAAAAAAAAAATTTTTTTAAATTGTCATCCTTTAGATAGCCATAAATCTTTGGACAGTACCGGTCCGACCACTAATTCGAGCCCAGATACTAACATTTCTAGTATCACCATTACTTCCAGTATCATTGCCCTTATTACATTGATACCGGTCAACACTTTCATGTCCGTTCCCAAATCCAGACAACAAAGTCCTAACTTTCGAGTTAGGTCTGCAGGATAGTAATTTGGTAAATTCTGAGCAACCCTCCCATTGGTTTAATTAGGATCAAGTTGAAGGGAAATGATTTAGCCCTACTAACCAAGGTGCCATTGTCAGGCCCCATAGCCAGAAGCGACCTCTAATTGGCAGGGATGATGTCATAAACTGTCGTTTTGTGGCGAGAAGCGGAAATCACGTGGGGTGAGTTCAGAAATGCCCCTAGGAAAATTTAACACAGTCGATCAAAAGCCCCAGGCCTCGCCTTACTCAAACATAACCTAAATCCAATTTTCCATCTATCATACGATAGTCGAGACTTTCAACGTGCTTTCCTGCCTCGTGCTCGCGTTTGAATTTCAAGCCGAGTTTCACTCTCGCCCTTGGATGCCTTTCGTTCGCTCTCTCTCTCTCTCGCTCCCATACCCTATGCCTACATAACCTTACCCCACGAAGCAACAACCCTCTATGTACCTTATACCTACTCGCAAGCCCTTCCACAGTTTAATTAGACGACTAACCGCGATTTCGTGACGCCCCAGTATCGCCTACAGATTTTCAAACGGTAACGTACACTGTTCACCCCCAGCCAACCCTTTCGCACACGTGGATACCCGTGACAAGCACTTTTAAGCGCCTCTGAGTATAGAGGCACGCAGAGACGTTTTTTTCTCAATCCTTCCGCTTGTTTCGTGGTTACGAAAAAAAAAAATTGTACAATACGTCCGGACGAAGAGATCCCTTAAAAGTATTGTGGTGTAAATCGAGCGCAGGGTGAAAGAAAAAACATCGTTTAGGAACTCTCTTGGTTTGGCAAATTGTCAGGGATTTTGATTTGCGAGTAAAGAGGGATACATTTAATTTAATAATTTTCCGGGGGAAAAAAATTTTTTTTTTTTTTTTTTTTTTTTTTTTAAGACCCAGAAACAAATATAATATTCCCACGTGCACCAACTTTTGCGGAAAAAACATTGTATTTTTCTATCAAGGGTGTCTCTCCCCCTCATGGGAAAAACATGTAAATATAGGAATAACAATTTTAATTCCCTTCTCCTTCACCCGTATTTATCTTCGGATGGATTCAGATATCATC